CCTAAAACTATAAACTAAAGGACACTAATTTTTAAATTATTCACTAAGGTATGTGGGTTGTTACATCCTCCCCACCTTAAAAGGATTTGGCCCACCAAATCATTTAGCTTACCAAAATAGATTTGGATACTGCCCCCTCATCTGACTTTCAAGTTCCCATGTAGCTTCATTCTCAGAATGATGCCGCCACAACACTTTCACTAAAGACACAGTCTTGTTCCTCAAAACTTTTTCTTTTCTATCCAAAATCTATATTGGCTGTTCGGTGTAACTCAAATCTTCCTTCAACTCTAATGGTTCATAGTTTATGACATGTGAAGGATCCAGCTCATACTTCCTCAAACCCGCACATGAAATACATTATGCACATTTGACAATTCTAGAGGCAATGCAATTATATAAGCCACTTCACCTACCCTTTCAAGAATCTCAAATGAGCCAATGTACCTCGGATTGAGTTTTCCTTTCAAACCAAACCGATACACTCCTTAGTTGGTGACACCTTCAAAAATACATGATCTCCAACTTCAAATTCCAGAGGTCTCCTTCTATTGTCTGCATAACTCTTTTGTTTGTCTTGAGCCACTTTAAGCCTTTGCTGAATTAATTTCACCTTTTCTGTTGTTTGCTGCACAAAATCAGGCCCTATTACCCTTCCATAACCAACTTCTGCCCAACAAATTGGAGTTCTACATCTCCTGCCATAAAGAGCCTCATAAGGTGCCATTTTGATACTGGAATGATAACTATTATTATAAGCAAACTCTGCCAATGGAAGATGATCATCCCAACTCTCAGGCAAATCTAAGGCACAATGCTCACTGGGACCCCATGGAGTTTAACAATCTCCTGAACATAAAGCTTGGCCAACTTGTCTAATGGGTCTTTTTGTTTTATAGCCAAAAAGTGAGCTGACTTTGTTAATCTGTCCACAATCACCCAAATTGCACCAAATTGCCTTCTTGTCTTCGGCAATCCCACAATGAAGTCCATTGAGATGGCTTCCCACTTCCACTCCGGTATAGGCAAAGGTTGAAGTTGCCCTCTTGGCTTCTGGTGCTCTGCTTTTACCACTTGACAAGTCAAGCATTTGGACACATATTGAGCCATATCCTTCTTCATGCTTTTCCACCAGAATGTCTCTTTCAAGTCATGATACATTTTGGTACTCCCAAGATGAATGGTATAATTGGATTTGTGTGCTTCTTGGAGCAATTCCGTCCTCAACCCTTCATCATATGGAACACAAATTCTATCTCCAAGTCTTATGATTCCATCATCCGAAATATGAAGACCCATTTTGGAGCTTTTTCCACTGTCCTTCATCCACTCCATCAATCTTGAATCTTTCTGTTGTGCTTCCTTGATCTTTGACAACAGCGTAGGTTGAACCATTAGACTAGACACTAGTACATCAGACATTGGTGGCAAAAACCTGACATTCAAATTCTGGAATTCTTCTAGGAGTTTCCACTCCATCACCATTAAGCTTGCTAAAGTGCCAATTGATTTTCTGCTAAGTGCATCTGCAACCACATTTCCCTTTCCAAGTTGATAGATAATTTTGCATTTATAGTCATTCAGATACTCCATCCATCTTCTTTGTCTCAAATTAAGCTCTTTTTGTGAAAATAAATATTTCAAGCTTTGGTGATCAGTGTGCACCTCAAACTCTTCTCCATACAAATAGTGCCTCCACAACTTAAGTGCAAAAATTATGGCAACAAGTTCTAAATCATGTGTAGGGTAATTCCTCTCATGTGTCTTGAGCTCTCTAGACCCATAAGCTATCACCCGTCCATGTTGCATAAGTACACAACCCAAGCCTTTGTGAGAAGCATCGGTATATACCACAAAGTTTCCTCCATTGTCGAGAATAGCAAGAATTGGTGTTCTAACCAATCTGTTCTTCAACTCTTGAAAGCTTTGCTCACATTTATCTGTCCATTCAAACTTCTGATTCTTACGAGTAAGTTGTGTTAACGGACCAGAAATCTTTGAATATCCCTCCACAAACCTTCTATAATATCCCGCTAGTCCAAGAAAACTCCGCACTTCGGTGACATTACTCGGCCTTTCCCAGTTTACAACTGCTTCCACTTTACTAGGATCAACTGATATGCCATCCTTCGAGACAATATGACCCAGAAGGCTAATCTGATTTAGCCAAAACTCACACTTATCAAACTTGGCGTATAACTTCTTTTCTCGCAAAATCTACAATACAATGGCAAGATGCTCCTTATGGCTCTTTTCATCAGGAGAAAAGATAAGAATGTCATCAATGAAGACAATGACAAACTTATCTAAGTACAACTGAAAGATCCTATTCATAAGATCCACAAAAGCTGCAGGGGCATTGGTTAAATCAAACAGCATTACCAAGAACTCGTAGTGCCCATATCTGCTCCTAAAAGCAGTCTTCATCACATCCTCGGGTTTAACCTTTAGTTGATAATAACCCGATTTGAGATCAATTTTGGAAGGTTAAATACCCTTTTTAGTCCCTCTACTATAGGAAAAAGCCCCTTTTTGGTCCCTATACCGAAAAAATCCCCTTTTTGATCCCTAAATTTTAAAATCCGGCCCCTTTTTGGTCCTTCCGTTAATTTTTGCTCGCGTGGCACGTTAACTTAACTGGAACGG